AGCAGGAATCATGGAATGGCTTGAGTTGGAAGGGACCGTAAGGACTATGAGGTCCCAACCTCCCTGCCATGAGCAGGGACACCTCCCACTAGACCAGGTTGCACAAGCATCATCCAACTTGGCCTTGGACACCTCCAGGGAAATTGACCCACTCAGACCCCCGGGAGGCACCAGAGCCCATCCCAGAGGCAAAGGGAGGGAGAAGACCTGACACCAGAAGAGGCTCTGTAGAATTCCTTTATTTGCTGTTAACTGCAAGTCTGTAAAAGGTTTGGAGAAAGTCATTGTTACAAAACTACCAGCTGTTAGAAGTGTTTCTGGTTTTCACCCCAGCTAAAAAAGGCTCAGGGAGATGTGGAATAGTTTAGAACAGAGAATATTGCACAGACAACCAAATGGTTAATTTGACTAAAGAAAAAAACAAAAAGTGACACAGATGAGAGCACTGCACCCTCCGAGCTCTCTGCAGCCCAGGGATCCAGCCACAATTTGTACCACCAAACACCCCAGGGAACACAACCCCAAGGGAACACAGCCCTCAGCCCCTGCCAGGGCTACCCCCTGGGTGTCACCTCCCAACAGGTTTTCCTGCTGCAGCTACATTTGATCCCAGGACAGGGTGAGGCTGCACTTCAGTCCCTGGGGGTTTGTCAGGACAGACACGCTCTTGAGCAAGCACCTGAAGTCACCACTGCCACCAATCTCTGTGCATGGGCAGCTCTGAGAACCTCCCCAAAGAACTGGGAGGGAAAACCCCCCCACCCAATCCAAAAGCCCAACTCTTTCAAGTGCAGCTAGTTTAGTGCTCTCCAAAATCAGAAGGAAACCCTCAGCTCCAGTGAAGCAGCCCTGGAACAGGCAGAAGGACAAAGGCATCAGGTATCAAACCACCACCAGAAAGGCCAGAGACAGAGGGAGGACTCTGCCCCCTAAGGATAATGTGTATTAGCAACATCCACTGAGGAGCATCTCATGCTGTTAGAAGGGAAATGCCCCAAGAGAGGCTGTGGGTCTGAAGGAAGCATGGCGAGCAGTCAGGAGGGGTTTGGGGAGGGGACCCAAGTCAGCAAGCACAGCCAGGTGTGTGACCTTGGTGGCCACGGGACACAAGGGGAGTCAGAGGAGCAGACAGACCCAGCCTCAGCCGACAGGCACCACCCACACCTGGGTTATTCTGTCTCCCCCCTGGGCTGAGAGGGGAAAAGGCCAAGCCCCAGTGCCCAGGTGGAGGTTAGAGTGGTCAGAGGGCCAGACTGGGGCTTGGCAAAGGCCAAGCTGGACAACACAAGGGAGAGGTTCAGCTCCCAGAGAGACCCAAACCATTGCTGGCCCAGAAGGGCTCAAGTAAGTGCAAGCCACAAGTACTTTGTTTGGAAAATTTAACTGTAAGAACACAAAACCCAGTGGAGGATGGCAGTGCAGCTGCAGAGAGGAAGGCAGCAGCCCCAGTTCTCAGAGGAGCTGCTGCTCTTGCAGCAGGAAACAGGAGTTTCCATTAAAAAAAGCTTCCAAGACAAAAAGCCAGGCAGAAGCTCAGGGTTTGGCAGGGAGTTTGGCTCCTTCCAGCATGGCCCAGCTTCGGGTCAATGCCACAAACCAACTGCCTTTCTCTGCAGCAAGGAGTGACACAGCAGCACGGGCTCCTCCTGCAGCACCTCCAGCTCCTGGGCTCTCCCTGCACGCTGGCTCATTCCAGGGAAGGCTGGGCCAGCAGCAGAGAGCAGCAGCTTGTATCCAGGAGCTTTTGCTCTGCTGCAGATGACATGTGCACACACACAGTCAGTCTGAGGGTACCAAGCAGTCCTGCTGGGAGTCCAGGTGCCCAGCTACCCCACACTGCACCACATCTGCTCTGCCTGACAATTTCAGGACAGTCAGTTCTGGCTTGGCCAGTTTCTAGGACCTACTGAGAAGTCAGGCTCCCTAGCAGCTACGTGTACAAGTGAACTTCTGCTTCCTCCTCCTCCAGGTCTGAAGGAATCACTTGAGTTGCCCACAAGGATTTAGCAGGAATAAAACTCCTCCAGCCTGGAACTGCAGCAGTTACACACAAAGGAACAGCCGGTCCGTCAATTAATTCACGTTCGATGGTGGAAATGAGCCTGTGACACACTGGAAGCAGTCGCTTTATTCCCAGTCTTCCCACTCTTCATCTTCCAGCTGCAAACAAGAGTAATATCCCTCAGTTTGCTCCTGTAACTCAACAGAACCCCTGCCCAGGGCACCTGAGTCAGCACAGACAGAGCCTGTTGTACCCTCATTCCCACACCCTCACCACAGGGACTCTGTTGCTCTATTCCCACAGGGAACTGCCACACTCATCCCTCTTACATCCAAACAGCCACTCTCTGCTCCAGCTAATACCCATGGCCCCCAGGGTCAGATCCCAAGCTAAGCTGTATCCTCAAAGAGTGAGTCACACCTTTGAGAAGCCTCCTGTGAGCTGCTGGGGCAGGCAGCTTCCTGCTGCAGGGCTGCCCATCCAGGCCAGCAGCCACATCCTGCTCCAAGGAGCTGCACAGCTTGGGATACAGGACAGGGGCTGGAGCAGAGGGATTGGCCTCCTGAGGCACTGGAGTCTCTCTCCAGCCAACACAGGAAAGCCCCAGGGAGCTGCTGATGGTTTTTGGCAGGAATCTTCTGATCTATTTGAGGGAGAACCTCCCCTCGACTCACCTCTCCAGACACTTCCACCTTGGACAGTGCCAGCTGCACCTCCTCTTCTGTCATGTCCAAATCAAAGTCCTTCTCCCAGTCCTCACTGATATCCGTGCTGGAGCCTGGAACCACAAACACCAGGACTGAGCCATCAGAGCTGTGTGTGCTCTCCAGGCACCAGCCAAAGCTCAGAGCTGCCCCAGCAGGCACACAAAGCCCTGGCACTCCTCCTGAGACTGGAAAATCCCACAAGCTGCCCAAGGAGCTCACTAATGGAGACAGGATGGGTGTGAACTGCACCTCCCTCACAGCCAGGGCTGCTTGGGAACAGGTGGGAGAAGGGAATGTTCAACCATGTTCTCTTCTGGCTTGGGAGAAGCAGGATGTGTCACACTTCAGCCACACAGAAAATACAACAGGGAAGGAATGACGGGAGGGGCTTGGATACAGGGACTGTCATAGTCCCCAACAGAAAGAACAAGAGGAGCAGCCTGGACAGTCCTGGGGGTGGACAGGCAGAGGGAAGGGAACCCCACAGTCCCTACACAGACCACAGCCTCACCCAGCAGGGCAGGGACCAAAGGCCTGTTCTGTTCAGCCAGTGGACTTTTGAGTTCGTCTAATTTCATTCTGCTCACAGACCCAGCTCATGATACTTGGCCACCTTCCTGGGTCTTGAGTTGCTTCCAGTGGCTTTACAACCCTATAACCGACATCAGTGTTATCCCAGGAGACCTGCAGCAGGCTCTGCTGAAGGCAGAAGCCCCTGCAACACAAAGTCTGTCAGTAGTGTCAGCCAGAGCTGTGACATGTCCCTCCTCAGGGTTCTGGAGGAGCCTCTCCCTCCATTCTCCTGGGGAAGCACAGGCGTGGGATTCAGGAAAGGGTTCAGGGCCAGCTGTGGCACTGGCCCAGCCACCTGCTGAGAGCAGATTGTCACTATCTGATGCCACCAACTTGACCCTGCCCAACACCACAAGGATCTGCTTCCACTTTCATTTTGGCCATTAGGCAGCCTTTGGGTCTTCACTTTCCTGAGTGGTTTTGGCAAAACCCCATTTTCTCCTCCCTCTCATCACAAAACCAGGCCCCTTCCCCAAAAGCTGAAGGTTACAGCCCCAAACACGCACCTTTCTTGCCATTGTTGGAGGGGGTGGACTTCCCACTATCAGAGTTCAGCTCGAAGACCCGTAGATCCGTTGGTCCTTCCTCTTTCAGAGTCTCTGGCTTGCCCTGGGCTTTGCTCTCCACCCCTCTGAGCTCTGCAACAGCCACTTGCTCTGAGGATGCTGCTGACCCCCGGGCAGGTGCAGAAGGCTGGCCAGGTTCTGGGGGCTTTGGCAGGGAGCTCTGCTCTT